TGTGGAAAATATATAGGTAGCAGCCCATCTAGTGTGCACGTGCCTCCTTCATCTTCTCCTACTTTTCAAATTCCTTCTCTAATCTGCTTTGCAATTACCTCATCTGCTACCAGTGGCTCAAGTCGCTTACCCACTGTCAGATATTTCAACATTAAATATTATGCTAATATATTTTAATAACCCTGACATGGTCATCATTGGTTATTTCAATAAAAATATTATTATAAAATAATCATTGAATTTAAATGGATATCATTCTTTGGACATATGGTAGTTAGTAGAGTTTTGTACGGTGAAAACGTTTTGTTCTGCCAAAATATTTTTTTCTGAAAATTACATTTAGTTTGGGACCTCCTACACCATGCAAGGATGTCTTATGCAATGGTTGTGTAGGGGTTATCAAGTAGACTTATGCACAGCAGAAAAATGTCTCCCAATTTTTTTTAGATTTAGTCAATTTGGGATTCGTCCATGTGACATTTTGTGTCAGATTAATTTTGTCCATGCAATTGTTTTTTGGAAAAAAATACTTGGTTGAACCAAAAGGATGCAAAAATAAGCCAACCAGTCTATTGCAAAATATATACATAAAATATGTATTATGTTTAAATATTAGATATGTATTAAATATATAAAATATGAATGTAGATTTTTTTATACTGCTCTTTCATTTTTTCCATTTATTGGTCACTTCTCTCTTGATCTGTAAATACAATCAACATTTAGTGGCTGTTCCCTAACTATTAATCTTCTTTTAACTATACAAATGAAACAGTTCAGCCCATTTTTTTTTTAGTTTGCTTCATGATTCATCCATATAGTGTATCAGACTTACAGAATTCTGAAGAAATGCCAAGATCCAGATGAATTGCAAATAGTTTGAAACCAAATGCACAAATCGCTTATCAGGTCTAGGTTAGAACCAAGACAGTATTCTCTTCTTTGTAATAATATTTGAGGAAAAAATAAATGTTGTGAAGGCACTCATAAATTAATTAATGTATCTTAGTAATATAGTATTATAAATTACTGTAAATTACTGTAGACCCATTTAAGTTGTCTCTAATGATTAATAATATAAAATTTTCTTAACAAAACAAAAACATTTATGTTTACGTTATTTAAAATAAGATGGGACAATAATCATGTCTCCTAAGCAAATTTAAACACAGAATATATGTAAAAAAAGTTGATGGGAGCCTAAACTAGTTTTCTTAGACCCATTTGAGTGACTCGGCTGATAAAAACATTGCATTATATACGGACTCATCATTGAGTAAACTTTGACCCTGTACCTCACAGTCAGCCTACACATTCCAGCCAATCAGCAGCAGACCCTCCCTCCCACCTCCTGGACAGCATCCATTTTACATTCATTGTGAAGCTGTCCAGGAGGATCTGGGAGGGAGGGTCTGTGGTATATCACCAAATTAATATATATACTACACAAGGTTCGTCTACATTAAAAGGTATTTATTAAAAGGCAACAACACAATACTATAAATGTATCACAAACACACAGCCCAGACCCACGGAGCAACAACCCTTTTTAAATCTATCTATCTATCTATCTATATAGTAACCCATTCCCCACACGCTTGATCTCACCCAGGGTTAGGCCTTCACATCTAGTAATGGCTCACTGCTGCAAGTTCAACATCACATCCACCAAGGAAGAAAAGGAAGCAACAGAGAGTAACATGGTTCACCATGCTAGCACATGGCATCTGCACATCTGCTCTGCAGCACAGCCAAGAAGGAACAGAGAGGAATGGAGAAAGGGGGGAGTGGTTATCTCTTTCCTGACTTGTAAAGGTATTGAATTACCAATTAACATTTCAAAAGGGTAAAGCTTATCCCACTGTAAGAAAAGCAAACATGAGCTTGGTCACATGATCCCTGGTCACCATATTAGTTTGATGACAGAATGTCACCACATTCCCTCACTTTTTCTTCTCTTATGTTGAGCACATTTAAAAATAATAATAATTTATGCCTTCTATCTAAACTATGAGATCTGAAGTAGGAAAGGGGAGCACAGGAATTATAGTGAGTGCTATAAGCAGGGTGAAAGAAAACAGTCAAATAGGGGTTGCATCACGCCACATTCCCCCACTTTTTCTTCTTTTATGTTGCTCCGTTATCTAGTTATCCCTCTAGTACAGGAAAACCTAGTGGGAGCAAAAACCTGATATGCAGGAGAAATTCAACCCACCGTCTCTCCGGAATAGTTCCCTCAGCGACACAAGTTCTCCTGTACTTTCCTATGGCTGTTAATTCACATATTATACAGAGTGTCACTGTAACGGACCGTTTTGCACAAAAGGGGAAAAAACCGTTTAGGCGATCGACCCCCTTTTCGGAGATGCAGGCACAGCTACTGCAGAACACCAAACACACGAACCGCCAATAAGTGAATGCTCCAAACTCCCGAATGGCATCCAATATAGCACTCCAAATACACGAACAGGAACCATACGAATTGCTGCTACCAGACGAACAGGAAAAGCTCCCAAGCGGCTTACACTCCTGGCAATCAGTCCTTAGCAGCATACAGTAAATCCCCCAAAGACGAGACAGAGCTCCGTGTTGAGGGTCAAGCAGTGGTCTGTTTAATGAGGGCTACCTGCCCAGCTTTTATGCAGGTCTCCCACCTGGTG